TGGGTAAAAATTTAGTTAATTATTTTTAGAAGCCAAATTGGGAATTCGGCGAAGAAGATGCCAAAACTTTGATCTTAAATTATTAACAAACAATATCCAATAACCACTAAGAAATCACTTCTATAACTCTTAAAAATAATGTTCAGAATATGCTATTTTTTTTATTGTGTAGTAGTAAGGATATTATTTTTCATCAGCTTAATTTTATTTAAATTACATATCAGAACTTCTATTAATTTAATTAAATAAATAGACCTTAACGATAATTCAAATCAAGTTAACACTCAAATAGAAAAAGAGTAGAATTCATTTTTCCTTTATACTATTATCGAGTAACCAAAAATAAATATTTCAAATTTGTTAGAAGTTGCAAGCAAAATTCTATTCAAATTTTGAAAATAAAGCCTTAAATGTAAAATAACTTCAGAAATTTGATACCATGGTAACAAGAGAGATTACTTATGAAGGATGGAAATAGAAGATGTTCAAGAATTTGGACTAATAATATCAATAATAAAATTGAATTAGTCTGCCAATTAATTTATAAAATAATCAGCGTAAGTAAAATTTTGCTTCTTCACTAAAATTTATAAAATGAATCATAATCCATTTTTAATTTATTACTAAAAAAAGTTTGTATATTTTATATTTCTTAAAAAACACTGATTTTTAATTTTTAATAATAATTCACAAATTAAGTCACCTTAATAGAATTACATCATAAAAGTGTATTCAGAATTTTAATTAGATTAATAATTATAAATACTAATTTAATGATTCAATAAAATGTGGTAGAAGACAATGAAACTAAGGCTTTAATACATTATGAAAAAAGTTTGGTATAACTTATTGTATTTATCGAGGAATTGAGAACAAAATATTAGTTTGAAGAAGCTTTAGAGGAAGTTAATAAAACCATTACAGCTTAATCCATAATTAGCTAAAGCATACACTTTACGTGGTTCACCCATCATAATATCTCTTAGGAGACATATATGAAGAATTAAGAATGTATGATCGAGCATTAGAAAATGCAAATCATGGAATAAGCTCAAATACTCATTTATTAGAGAGTTATTATCTCAGAGGTAAACTTATACAAAATCATAGCAACAATATATTGGAGAACAAAATTATATGAATAGGCTATACAAGATTGTATGCAATGTCTTGAAATAGATAAAAATTTTGCTTTAGTATATCATCGAATGGGTATCTCAACAGTGAATAAATTAGGTAAAATCGTGGGTTCAAAAGGGGATAAAGAAAAAGAACTTGAATACTATAACATAGCAATTAGTTTAGATGCTAATTCTCTTAAGGCATTTATGAATAGGGGTATGGTTCAATCTAAAATAGGCATATTATTTCATAATTAAGGGGAATATGAAAAAGCATTAAATGATTATTGTTATGGCAATACAATCTTGGATTCTAAACACCCTATCGCTTATTTTAATAGAGGTGAAATAATTAATATGATTAGGTATACTTTATAACTAAATGGGTAATTCGGAAAACGCATTGTAAGATTATGATAAAGCAATATTAATTGATCCAAAATACGTTGACACCTACTTTTAAAGAGGTGAATTTTAAATCTAATTTAGGTTTTATCTATTACAAAAAGGGTGATATAGAAAACGCTGTAAACGATTATAATTAAATATTATAACTAGATTTTTCAAACATTAAAGCCTATCTTTAAAGAGGTAAATTATAATCATGATTTAGGTTTAATGTACCTCCAAATTAACGAGAGAGAAAAGGCAATAAATGATTTGAATAAAGCAATGTAACTTGATCCTTAACTTTCTGAAAATTATAACCTTAGAAGTGAATTATTTTATCTTATTAAGGCTTTCTATATTAATAAACAAGTGAAGTAGAAAATTCATCAAATGATTGTCCTTATGTAATATAAAGTGATCTGCAAGCTAGTTTATACTACTACATCAGAGGTAAGACATAAATCTGATTTAGGTTTTATTCATTAAGTTATGAGTAAATCAGAAAATGCATTAAAAGATATTAGTTAAGCAATAGAAATTTATCCTCTCAACTTTTAAGCATTCTTTTTGAGAGGTGATTATCGAATCTAATTTAGGTGTAATTTATAACGAAATGTGTAAAACAGAAGAAGCATTCTAAGATTTTAGTGAAGCAATAAAAATTGATCCTAAAAATTTTTAAGACTGGTTTTAAAGAGGTGATGTAGTTATTTCGATTTTAGGTTTAATTTATGAATAAATGGGAAATTTTGAGAACGCATTAAACGATTATGATTAGGCAATACTAATTGATCCTTAAGACACTGAAGTTTACTTTAGAAGAGGTGAATTCTTTAATCTGATTTAGGTTGTATATATGATCAAGATGGTGATCAAGAAAAAGTATTAGACCATTGTAATTAAATGATACAACTTGATTCTTCAAACATTAGAGCATATCTTTTAAGAGGTATATC